CCCACCAGTCCCTCCGCTCTGACCTTTCCGCTCCGAGCCCACCGGTCCCTCTGCTCCTCTCCGTCCCCTCCGAGCCCACTGACCCTCCGCTCCCTCCGGCTTCGCTCTGCTCCCTCCACCCTCTCTGCCCCGCTCCGGTCCCACCGGCTCCTCCGGTCCCCACCGACCCCTCTCCGCTCCCGATTTACGGTCAGGGCGCAATCAGTGCTTGGGAGTGGGTTGGATCGCAACCCACGGGCCCGAGGGTGGGTCGTGGTGGCTCTCTAACCCCCCGAGATGTATTTGGTGATTTTTCCCTTTAATTGCAGCTTTCTCGAGCCAAGCACAGGTCTGTGTGTGCCAGCATCAGGACGGGCAGCGTGGGGCTGGGTGTAGGGTGGTGCAGGAGGACACATTGCAGCTCCATCCCTGAGCCCTGTGCTCGCTGGATGGATGGTCGAGGCCGACAGCCTGAGCTGTGCTCACCACGCAGAGGATTCAGGGTGTAGGGAGCCACTTCCTCAGGTTACATCTCCCAGGGCACCATTCCTCACTGCTGGAGTTTTCTAGCCCCTGTGGCTCATGTTTTGGCTTTCCCCATGTCTGATTTAGTTGGCATAGACCAAATATATCCCAAAAATGGTGTATTTGGGGGGAAAACAAGTGCCCGTAGCATCTGCAGGAATGTTCTGGGCACTCCCCTCATGTGCAGTTCCAACCTGAACTCATTCAATATTGATGCTTCACACCATGTGCTGATACCTGTGCAGCCCTTGGACAGCACAAGTGTTCCAAGCTCTTACTGGCTCCCCATGAAGACCAGGTCCTGCTTTGCAGCAGAGCTTGGGATGTACATCAGCCTCCCCAAGCACTGCTGTCTGTTGGAAGTGCCCTTTCAGATTCCTCTCGGATTCCCTCTTGTTGCTGCTGGAGTTATCCCCATCTGTTCTGGTGTCTGGGAAGGGGAAGGAGCACATGGTGCTACTGTGAGCTGGTATTGGTGCCTGACAGCTCCACAAGCTGCTGGCAGTAGCTCCTGGATTATGCTCCAGCTCTGTTTCTTCCCTCTGCTCTGCTGTTTCCAGCTGCCACAGGACTTGCCCACCCCTCCTCCCCACCAGAGTGTGGGGCCGGGTCCTCTGTAGGATCAAATTTTGACAAAAGTGCCTTTTTGTTTGTTTTCTAGCCCAAAGTGCTGTGTTTTCACCTGCCCACAGCCCTCCTGGAGTTGTGAGGTGGTAAGGGTGGTGTCATAGAATCTTAGGCGTTGGAATGGAGCTCAGAGATCACCCAGCCCCAACCCTGGGCAGGGACACCTCCCACCAGAGCAGGTTGCTCAAGGCTTTAGCCAACCTGGCTGTGAACACTGCCAGGGTTGGGGCAGCCACAGCCTCCCTGGGCAACCTGTGCCAGTGTCACCCTGCATGAGGAGACAGCAAAGAGCTGCTGTCCTTGGGGGTTTGCAGGACTCTAAGCCCTGGACACCGCAGGCTGGGGCTGCAGAGGGACATGGGGTCTGTTTCCAGACTGCTGTGGCTTTGGCCTTTTTGGGATTCAGGTACTCAAAGAAGCTCTCCGGAGCTGCCTCTGCATCGCTGAGCCTTTTGGCTTTGAAAGGGCACAAGCAGGATTTAGGGGATTGCAGGGCTTGGATTGAGCAAGGAGAGATGTCAGTGCAGGAGCTGAGGAGTGTCTGCTGGGGTCAGCTGGGGTGTCTGACCCCTTCCAGCCTCCAGGCCATCCACAGGCAGAGCTCTGTGCTTCGTGAGGTGTTTACCAGCTAGCAGGGTTGGGTTTGCTGCTGAGGGCTGTGAATTCAGTGTCCTTTGTGCTGCCATGGCTGTGCTGACTGCCAGGCACTGTGGGGATGTGATTCCTGCGTGGCTTGTGGGCTCTGTGTCCTGATTATGTCAGAGGTGGCTGATCTCCTCCCCTGCATGACTGCAGGGATCAGGCACAGCTCTCCCTCCCAGTCCTTGTGTTTCTCAGTCCAGGCTGAGATGTTGTCTGAATTCTTTCCCTTTGCCACTGCTCCTGGGTCACCCTTGACAGCCTTGCCAGAGATTTCCTCTGACTACTCTGAGTGAGTCCAGAGGAGGCCACAGAGATGCTCCGAGGTCTGGAGCCTCTCTCTGCCATGGACCAGGCTGGGAGAGCTGGGGGTGTTCAGCCTGGGGAAGGAAAGGCTCCGTGGAGACCTGAGAGCTCCTTCCAGTGCCTAAAGGGCTTCAGGAAAGCTGCAGAGGGACTTGGGACAGGGCCTGGAGGGACAGGACAAGGGGGAATGGTTAGAGGTTAGGTTAGGGCAGATTAGATGGGATATTGGGAAGGAATTCCTCCATGTGAGGTGCTGAGGCTCTGGCACAGGTTGCCCAGAGAAACTGTGGCTGCTGCATCCCTGGGAGTGTTCCAGGCCAGGCTGGATGGGACTTAGAGCAACCTGGGCTAGGGGAAGGTGGATGGGACTAGATGGTCTTTAAGGTGCCTTCCAAGCCAAACCATTCCATGATTTAGGGTGCTGCAGGTGAGACTGTGGTTTAGTGGGTGCAGGTGCTACAGGAGCTGCAGGCAAACCAGCTGGAGGAACTTGGGGCTGGCTCCAGTGGCACATCCAGAGCTGGCACGGTCCAGGGAAGCCTCATTTACCCCAACAGTGTCCTGGGAGGCAGGAACCCAGCTCAGACGGTGCCAAAATCCTGCTGGTGCCTCAGTGACACCCTGAGAACGTGTGGAAATGAGCCTCGAATGGAGTTGCCTGTTCTGGGCTAAATATTTGATGTGCTCAGCATGAACCAAATGGCTCTGCCCTGGCAGGTTCTCAGGCTCCTCGCGTTCCCTTTCAGAGCACGATGTTCCTGGTCGGACTCTCGGGTGGAATCGCGTCGGGAAAGAGCACAGTGGTGGCCGTGCTGCGGGAGCTGGGCTGTGCCGTGATCGATGCCGATGTTATTGCCAGGGAGGGTGAGTTTTCGTGGCTGATGCTGCTCCCTGCGGTTCCCGTGACAACGGGAGCGCTGGCGGCAGAGGGTGCTCTGGGTACATCGCACAAGTCTTCCCCTCCCGTTTCCCTCTCCGTGAGGCTCTGGAGCAGCTCCCTCGGGGGGGGTTAGGAACTAGGATATATTTTTAATACAGAAAAAAAGGAGATCGTGTCCCAATAAACAGCGTGGGAGGATCCTGCTCTGAGTTTTCACTCCTGGAGTGTGACACTTCACAGCTTTGAAAGCCAACGCTGGGCAAAATAAATGTGGTTCCCTGCAAAGCAGATTCCCTTGGCTAATCCCATGTTCCTCCTGAGCCCCAGGACACCCACCCAGTGGGATCACTAACATGTTTGAAAGAGAAAGTCCCTCTGTGCTGGGTGTTGTTTGCTTGGTGACACAGAGATCAGACCACAAAATTAATGTGCGCAAAAAAAAGAGACTCCAGAGATCCCTGATCAGAGGGAATTTGCTCTGTGTTCCTGCACTGCACATCTGCCCCTCACTGCTTTCAAAATGTGCTGCCTGGGCTGGAGGAAAGAGCCAGAATTCCAGCGCTGTTGCCTCAGGAGGACTGGAGCAGACCCTGATTCCCTGTGAGGTGTTAATCCCTCCTTCCCACAGGGATAACGAGGGGAGCAGGGAGGTTGCTGTGGCTGCTCCATCCCTGGGAGTGTTCCAGGCCAGGCTGGATGGGGCTGGAGCAGCCTGGGCTGGTGGGAGGTGTCCCTGCCCGGGGCAGGGGTGGCACTGGATGGGCTTTAAGGTCCTTCCAACCCAAACCAGTCTGGAATTCTGCGATTCCGAGGGTTGTGGATCCTATATGCAGCTGAGCCCTAGTGCAGTGGAGTAATTTGGCAGTACCTGAGCTTTTCTGTTTGGTGAAGAACTTACAGTGCAGCCACTCAAAGCTGTGATGCTTTAACATTTTATTGCACTGTAATTCCCCTCGAGGTGCAGGAAATTTGCTGGAGGTGCTAAAAGCCCTTGGAGACAGTAGGAAAACACTACAGGTACTCAGTGTCGGGTTCCTACCAATCACTTTATTTTCCTCCAATTCCTTTTTTATACCTGTTTGTTTACTATATGGCTTTCACCCATCCTGAAACTGCCTCCATGTGATATTCCACAGGAGAAAGAAATTGGTCTTAAAGACCTTTATGAGGTTGGCCTGAGGTTACAACCTGTGGCAATGTTCCTGGATTTGGAAGAGATGATTATCTCTGCTCTGTCCTTCGCCGTGGTTAGCCCCAGCTGGAGCTTAATTATGCTTTTATTGCCGCATCCCTTTGGTTGGTGATTTTTTTTTTGGTGGCTTTAAAGTTATACACTCCTGGAGTGTCAGAGTCCCTGCAAGGGCTGATTGGGGATTGAGCTTTTAGGAGGGTTTTGTGTTCATTTTCCTGACGAATTTAGTGACTGAGGTGAAAGACAGTAAAAAACCTCCTCAGCAGCAGCTAGAGCTGAGTTGTGGCAGTGTGTATTCATGAAGTGCCGATGTCTTCAGCCGGTCCTGGTCCCT